ACAACTACATTGACAAGTCTATAGCTAACAGGAAAGTCTATATGATAACAACTGACAAACTAGAAAAATTTTATGGACGGCAGGGTCATTTTTTATTTTAAATCTCTGAATCAAATAAGATCTTTGTTCATTCAGAAAGAAATGGCTGATGTGATTAATACTTGACTCGGAAATGTCGTCTTCTTTAACATTTAATAAACAATTGAAATCGCATTGTTATCCAGCTTTCAGTGCGTCCTTTCAATTAGCCAGTCGATTCGGCTATGGTTGGTGAGATAATGATTAAAATCTTCAACTTTCATTTAAATTATTCAATATCATCTCCTGGTTGACATCTGATGAAAACGCCTGCGACACAATTACAAAGCTGAGGAGTATATATACCTTAGACGAGGTCATCACCAGAAAATCAAAATGAGTTTTACTCTGTGTGGTGGACTTATCCTGTTATTAATGTTTGAAGTCGTAGCATCTCAAGCATTTCTTTGTAAGGAAGCGTCTCTTTCTTGTCCTGTGATAACTTACAATCATCGCCGACTTAAAGGCTTCACGTTCAAAACAATTCACCAAGCAAGCCTGGTATCCTGTGGTTTGCTATGTCAGAGAGACCCTCGATGCGCTTCAACAAATTTCAGAAACGTTTTCAAAAGTCAGGGAACCTGTGAGTTGAACGACAGAGGAGCTCTCCTTACTGAGAAAGGAAACGAACTGGAATACGACGAAGAAGCAATTTACACCCAATTTTACGACACGAAGGTAACAAAAAAATCTCGATAAAATACCAAGAAGTTGTTATTGACTCCTCGAGACACTTGTCTTTCATTCGTGGTATCTTTCCCATAAAATCTTCATATTTCGACGACAGATGTGAAAACTTTCCATCTGTCACATTTTTCTTTGAATGTTTTTTATCGTTTGGTCCTAAACCAGTTTGACGTGTATGCGGGTAAAATGGTGATTTTTCATCTTTTTCTTTTAAGACCACATTTCTCTGAAAACTGATAATCAAAATGTTGTACTATCGTTTAAAGTAAAATGAGAAATTTTTCCTAAGTGGGAATTTAAATCTAAGTATCATTGGAGTCAATATATGCAAACTGCTTCGAAGCTCAATAAAGTTAAATATATTTTAAGTTAAAAGTTCTTAAATAAATTCAGATGGACCGAAAGTAGGTCATACGGATTTAGTACACAGAATTCAGTATAAAATTTTAGCTTCAAGCTAAAACTTTCAAGATGTATCTAAAGGCCTTCAATTAGCTCACTCTTGCGCAGTCTCCATACGGTGATGAACCCGGAAGACTTATTGATTTCCCGATAAAATAAAAAATTAATTATTTTTTTTTTGTTATCAGCACCACTGTCAGGCCTTCAAGGAAGATTTAAAAGTCGTCAATTGCAAATGTAAGTAGCGTTGGTTTGAAAGGTATTCTTGAGATTAAAGTCAATGACTTCGTGTCTAAACTACAATGAGTTACTTGTCCCGGCTACTTATTCTCTCTCCGCCAATAGGTGCGGAGTCTGTCGTCCTCGCGAACCTTCGCGGACCCTCACAAACATTCCCCGACCCTGCTTGAAACATTTCGATTCTTACAGTTTCCTTGGAAGTCCTCGAATGCTGTCAAAAAGATTGCAAAGGAAAATGTTGCCTAGGTTACTTCTAAATAAAAGTAGAAATCAAGCCTTTAATTCCCATGAGTGACCAAGACAGAATTTCTCCTTACAATAACCATACAATATCAATCAGACAGGTGATGAGAATAATGAAAAGGATAAGTTTGAGGATCTTCTAGTTGATCTAGTACCAAATTCTTAGAACTAGCATCGTAAGAGTTGTATAGCAGACAGTAAGGAGACTTAATAATGAGATCTTAGGCACTGAAGAGCTAAGGAAACAAGAACCTGCTGAAGAGGCCGAGGACCCTCACTGCGTTATTCACAACTTCAAATGCTGATGTGCTTACCAAATGCATCGCGAAAACACGATAGCGTTGAGTCATCAATATGGGAAGCAATTTAAACATATCCAGGAATTAGGCAAGATAGACTCCAGTGATTCAAAAACCTCTGGATACTCCAAAGGTGCCGTAGTAAATTTGTAAGTAAGCAAATGAACCTTGCGAGTAAATGTGACTCAAATAGTCAGATTTAACGCTCAGGAATTGTTGAGAAATAATCGCACAATAAAGGAAGTTGTTACAACCGTGAAGGTTTCGACTTTTAGAGCAAAAATGGCCATGAGAGATTTATGGAAACACATAAAACCGTCACGAAATCATTGAAAGTCCTGGAATTTTTGCAATGGATGAATCTGATATTACAGTTTCTTCATTAATCAAATTGTGACACGTGTTTCTAATAGGATTCGAACCTGCAAATTGTGACTCGTGTTTCTAGCAGGATTCCAACCTGCAATTCTTCGTGTACAAGGCGGATGTAATAACCACCCCACTACAGGAACGCGGCTCGTAAGCATGGCTTTGTCCGCCAGGAGCATCTCACTCATGGCGAGATATGACGTAGTCTTTGAAGGTCAAGAAAAAGCTCTAAAGGCGTTTGCGATATCGGCAATATTTGATTTTATTACCAGTTAGTTCTATATTCGCTGAGCCGGGTTACAATTTGGACTAACGTAAACTTTAATGCCATTTTGACAGTGCACGTGTTGTATTATCGGAGAGCTCAATTTTAAATTTTGTCTCATTGCTGATTATTGAATAAAGATTTAACTCACGCATAAATCATTTATAACTGCAGAAGACATGGCCACAGCTAAATGATGGCTTTGTATTGTTATTTTTCCTCGTGAAAAAACAATCATACCAACTGTTGCTGTTATATGATTTTATATTCAAATTAGTTATAGACTGCGTCCTCGTCATATGAATTTCTTTTCGTTATTCAGGTATCAAAGTTCCTCTGTCGTTCATATCACAGATTCCTGTTGCTATTTTAAAACTTGAAATTTTAGGGAAATGGAGAACTACTTGGACATTGCAAACCGTAGGATGCTAAGCTTACGGAATGAAAGATTTGAAGGTGAATCCTGATAGTCGGCTATTATGTAAGTTATAGCGCTATGAGAGAAAAGAGTTTTCATTTGCGGCAACCCAATGAGATGTCGAGAGCTCACACGTTGAAGATCTGTATTTTCCCAATTAAAACTTAGTCATAATTTCAAATGCAGTATGTGCGTGCGCCAACGCTTTTTTTTGTGTTTGGTGGGTCTGAGACGAAGTCGAGATACCTGAGAAAGCTAGACAGTGAGTAGTAAATAAGTGAGATCAAACTGTATTAGTTTATATCTGTGTTTATATTTGATTGCTGATGAACATGTAGAAAAGTATCAACTAAGCTTCTAGGTTTTTACCGCCATGTCTTTCTTTCTAACAATTATTGGCAATTCTATCGTCATTTACGCCTTTTGGACTGCCCCGAGCATAGCTCCTCCCTCGAGAGTTTTCTTTATCAATCTGGCTGTGTCTGATTTGCTGCTTGGTTTGGTCGTCCTGTCCTTCTCTGCAGTCTTTAGGGTAAGAATTTTGATCAGATTAAACAATCAGAGTAATGATTATGATAGTAACCTGGAGTGCGACATCAGCAGGACAGTGGGGTTCTTCGCTCTATTTTTCTCTGGGTATCCCTCAACTCTATCGCAGTCATAACTGTGGATAGATATCTTGGGCTCTCACTTCATCTACGTTATCACGCAAAGTTGGTAACCGCAAATAGAGCACTCATCGTCAGAAGTGCAACTGTCTGGATTTGGTCTTTGCTTATAACTCTGGAATAAATGGTTGTTTCTTTAAATGATATTGTTAACTCTTCTCTCACAGTGTTCAAAATTGCAACCAGTAGATGCGCTTATAATAGGATTTACAAAACAGCGCGTCATCATTAGAATCAAATCTTCGACCAAGCTGAAATTGAGAATCAGAATAACCAATTGGTGCGATTAGCGCGCGCGAGTAAGCTGTCCTTTAATGCAATGTGTATATTCGTTATAATGCTTATCTGCTACGCTCCCTATGGCATCGTCTCTCCCTTTTTCCGAAAGTCACCTAACCCCAGTCCTTCATTAGCCTTAGGCGTGAGTGTATCTATTTCTGTAAGTCTGTGTAATTCTTGCATAAATCCATTGGTGTATTGCTGGAAAATTCGTGCAGTTCGCGTGAGAGCCATCAACCTTCTGACGCGTGTACTTCCAGGATGGAATACTTGAAAGCAGATCAAAAAAGAGGAATATTCAAAGTACTTTGTTGCAAGATATTTAAACAGGCGAACACACTGCGAAGCGTTAGTTTTGAATAATTGGAAAGAAAAGTTGTAATTGTTAATAGAAGAATGTGAAAGCACTCGTAATTTAAATAAGTAACATTTGGTGAATCAATGTTTAATCGCTAAATATAGAGTCACCATGAAATTTAAGTACATGCTGGTACAAGTAGATCTCGAATTTTCGACTGTTATAATGTCTGTCTCAGTAGACCATTGAGGCTGAATTATATGCATTACCTACATGGCTAGCCGCTATTGGAATTGATTTATCAATAGATCTAGAGTGGGTCTGGTTGCACTACAAAATCTAAGAGCCACCTTAACTTAAAGGTTATATTTAGGTGACTTCATCATCGTCTTGATCTTCTTTATCAATTGTCATCATTGTCTCTAAAATTGGAAAATTTCATAACATTTCAGCTTTCTTTCAATCTCTATTAATGTCACCCATGTCTCTGTGTTAGCATTAGCCTACCAGCTTTCATAAACTAGAGAAGCTCACATGAAATGAATGCAAAAGCGATCTTCGCTGTAATAAACACTTCTTAAGCAGTAGTGAAAATATGACCTGAAAAAAAATTCAGGCCTGTACGAGATTTGAACCTATGACCTTTGCGATACCGATGTAGTGCTCTACCAACTGAGCTGACAACAAGTCAAGTGGGAGCTGGTCATTATGTTGGTTAATAATGAAACCATGAAATGATGAATAAGTGACCTTTTTCAGGCTTTATTTTCACAACTACTTAAAGCTCATATGGTTTAATAACTATGAAGGCAGGATAAGTGTTATTAGTTTAATTTAATTTAACCTGTTGTGTTACATTAAGACACATTCGATTTTGCATACTTAAGTCTAGACTGGATTAATTGAAGTAATGTGTGTATGTCTGAAAAAAAAGGGGAAATTGTGAGGTAGTGTAATTTGATTGACGTCAGCGTTTTCAAACCGCCAATTCACCGTTGCGTTCACGAGACTTGAAAGGTTTATCCATCGTTTACCTCACCCGGACGATCAAACTACACTACTACAACAGATTAAATGGTAGTTTAAGCTTATTAGTCATTATTATTAATGATGTGAGCCAAATGCACCAATGGCAGCACATGAAAACGCACCTGTGAAAACGAACGAACGAATATTCTCTTTTTGGAGCCTCATGTTTAATTAACCTCAGTGCATGACGAAGACCAAAAGTGTAGTGTTTCAAATGTAGTTTATGTTTGGATGGCCTCAATGAAAACCAGGCTGGTGTCTAATAATAAAAATGTCATTTTTCACGGTCTCTTAACTACTTCAAGAAGACAATTGGTTTTTTTTTTCAATAGAAAGAGATACATAAGTCAGTCTTCATTATGAAAAGAGCGGCAAGGAACCTCTGATGAGTTGACATGCCATTAAAACGAGTTGTTTTTTTTGTTAAACCTGCAAAAATGCCAATGAATATCGCGAGTGAGTGTAAACCCAGATAGTCAGAGATATCATGCTTTGGAATTTT